GTTGGCCGGCTTCGGCAACTCCCTCCTGCAGACCGGCCTGACCCTGCGCCTGCCCCGGTGCGGGCGCCACCGCGTGGAGCACTTCATGTGCGAGCTTCCGGCCTTGCTCAAGCTGGCTTGCACCGACACCACCTTCAACGAGTTGGAGCTGCTGGCCAGCGCCGTGCTCTTCCTGCTGGTTCCCCTCGGCCTCATCCTGGTCTCCTATGGCCACATCAGCGTCGCCGTGCGGCGCATGCGCTCGTGCGCCTGCCCCGGTGCGGGCGCCACCGCGTGGAGCACTTCATGTGCGAGCTTCCGGCCTTGCTCAAGCTGGCTTGCACCGACACCACCTTCAACGAGTTGGAGCTGCTGGCCAGCGCCGTGCTCTTCCTGCTGGTTCCCCTCGGCCTCATCCTGGTCTCCTATGGCCACATCAGCGTCGCCGTGCGGCGCATGCGCTCGGCCCAAGGCCGGCTCAAGGCCCTCAACACCTGCGCCTCCCACCTGGCCGTGGTGACCCTCTTCTACGGCACGGCCATCTCCATGTATCTCCAGCCCCCCTCCAGCTACTCCCAGGACCGCGGCAAGGCGGTCTCCCTCTTCTACACCATGGTCACCCCCATGCTCAACCCGCTGATCTACACCCTCCGGAACAAGGAGGTGCACGGGGCCCTGCGGAGGATGCTGGGCCGGACCCCGGCCGACCAGGCGACCTGAGCTGGGTGGAGACGGGGGCGCGCAGCCGTGTGCGCCTCTCGTGGCTTCCGTGCGCCTCCTTTCTGGCCCTCGGGAGCTGTCAGCCCCCCCTCCGTCCACACAGAGGCTTTATTCCAGGGGTGGGCAACCTGCGGCCCTGGAGCCATAACCTGTGATGGGGTGGACAAAGCCGACCTCCCCACAGGCCGCCTTTCAGCACCCTGGCCAGCAGCAGGAGCAGTGGAGAGGTCCTCCAAGCAGGGTAGAGGGGCAGCCTGCACTGCGGCCAATCAGAACCCGGCAGGCTGCTCTATAAGGAGCCCCTAGCTCGCCCGGTCAGTTCCTTCCTGGAGCTCGACCCAGGCAGACCTCCAGGCCGACTGGGACAACCAGAGCCTGGGATAGCTCCGAGTGGGAGCTGGACGGTCGGAGCTAAGTTGCTCCCGCTCGCTAGCCTGGCTTGCCCATCGCTGCTCAATCCCCGCCTGCTCCACGCGACAGATCGGCCCGAATCCCACCCCGTCCCCTGCTTCCTCTCAGCTGCCCCCCACAGCCCTCCTGCTGCCCCACGGATTGAACCTGCTGTACCCCACGCCCAACCGGCTGGCCCGTTCCCTTGCCCCCACCATCCATCAACTCACCTCTGTTTTCCCATAAATTAAAAAAAAATAAATTAATGGCAATTGCTGATCTCCTAGAACTGGAAGGGACCTTGGAAAGTCGTCTAGTCTACTCCCCCATCTTCACAGCAGGACCAAGCACCATCCCTGGCAAATTTTTGCCCCAAAAGGCCACCTCAAAGATTGAACTTGCAACTCTGGGTTTAGCAGGCCAATACTCAAACCACTGAGCTATCCCTCCGCCCATACAAGGGGAGCCAGTGATCCGGGCCCATGGTGCCTGGGACCCAGGAATATTTCTGGCCTGCGGGCCCTGATCCAGCAAAGTTTGGGGCCGGATCTCTCGCTCCGCACCCCCCACTATGCCTTGCACGCCTCCCTCCCCCCTGTGTGTTCCTGTGAGGGGGTGGACAAAGCCGACCTCCCTGCAGGCCGCCTTTCAGCACCCTGGCCAGCAGCAGGAGCAGTGGAGAGGTCCTCCAAGCAGGGTAGAGGGGCAGCCTGCACTGCGGCCAATCAGAACCCGGCAGGCTGCTATATAAGGAGCTCCCAGCTAAGGCCGGTCAGTTCCTTCCTGGAGCTCGACCCAGGCAGACTGGGACAACCAGAGCCTTGGACAGCTTCGAGTGGGTGCTGGGCTCTCAGAGCTAGGTCCTGCGGCCAAAGGCTAGCCGGGGACAAGTCTATGGACCCAAGAGAAGGGGAATTCAGCAGCAAAGCCCTAGAGAAGGGCTGGATGAAACGGACACGACCGTACCTACGGACTTCGAAACTCGGCAGGTATCTGCTACGTATAGGGTCTCTGGGCTGGGCCCCAGAGGAGTGGGTGGGCCGGGGTCCCCAACCCCCTGCAAACCCACCTAAACGAGGGGATAAGAGAGGAGGCCTGAACTTCAGCTACGGCCTGTGGACAGGCGGGTGAAATATTGCGAGACCCCCTTCAGCCGCCAACGGGCGCTCGCACTCAGGACCGATTTTGTTACAGTTCCCCAGCCCGCCAGCTGCTCCTGGGTCTGAAGGAAGCCACCTGGGATGGGAGGAAAAACCCCGGGGCTGTGTCTAGACTGGCAAGGTTTTCCGCAAAATCAGATGATTTTGCGGGAAAAACTTGCCAGCTGTCTACACTGGCCACTTGAATTTCCACAAAAGCACTGACGATCTCCTGGAAAATCATCGGTGCTTTTCCGGAAATACTCTGCTGCTCCCGTTCGGGCAAAAGCCTTTTTCCGAAAGACTTTTGCGCAAAAGGGCCTGTGTAGACAGCACAGTCGTGTTTTCCGCAAAAAAGCCCCGATGGCGAAAATGGCGACCGGGGCTTTTTTGCGGAAAAGCGTGTCTAGATTGGCCACGGACGCTTTTCCCCAAAAAGTGCTTTTCCTGACAAGCATCCTGCCAATCTAGACGCGCTTTTCCGAAAATGCTTTTAACGGAAAACTTTTCCGTTCAAAGCATTTTCGGAAAATCCTGCCAGTGGAGACGTAGCCCGGGTGTTTCTCTGTCAGGACTTGGATTTGCTCGCTGCTCCGTTGGCGGGGCAGCGATCTGCTCATGGTCATCAACTTGGCTGGGGAAAGATCGCAGAGTGCACCAGCCCCAAACGCCGCACCAGCCAGTCCTGCAGGGGGACCGAAACGAAAGTCTGCCCTGGAGTGACACGGGGCAGCGCCTTCAGGTTGCAGGGGACACTTCTGGGCGTGGCTATGCAAATGCAGCTTGCTTCTGGGGGCAGAGGGCTGCCGGGTATTCGACCGGCGCAACCGCCTTTCACCCCTTCCGACAGGAATCGAGAATCGTGAGATTCCATCACCGTGGCTTGCCGCTTGGGGGGGACGCAGAGACGTCCGGCGTCATGTGGCCCAGATCACCGGGGAGAGACACTGTCGGCGTAAAGACACTGGGTTGGAGTGAGGCTCCCCTTCCAAAGCCCCCACAAGATTAAGCTGGGGAGGGCAGGATTGTAGGTCTGCAGGATCCGTGCCCTGCAGGTCTCAGACTGGTCTAGCCTGTCCCCCTTTCGAAAGCAGAGCTGAAATGGGCTCTTTCGGTATTTGAATTTACTGCAGTGCATGCTGGAATTTCATGCGGCCAGACTGTGCTTTGGGCCAAGAGCTGAAATTGCTGAGGGCCAGGTGGGTGGTGAGTGACCATCCCTCTGAACTCTGAGGTGCCCTCCATGGTAAACCCAGTCTAGACACACCCAAAGTGAACTGAATGGCCTACAATGTTCCTATATTTGCTACAAAAATGACTACTAAGATGCATGCCTGTTAATTGCAGGAGTTATTAAAAAATGTTCTCCCAGATAGGCACGACTGAAATTTATTTGAAGGGTCAGAGTTAAGGTTATCATTTTGAACTAAAAGAATCGGTAACATTTCTGAGATGGTCATTGTACGTCGCAATGACCAGGAGCTGGGTGAATACAGAACAACCACAAATTAGTCCCTGTCCAAACAGCCATTTTTCAACGCAAAATCTATTTCTTTGCATAGGTATCCCACCGCTGCCCCCAAATGCTGCCAATCCAGTTTTCTAGCCTGTTTTAATTGTGTGGTGCGTGCCACTGTCAAGTATTTTTGCCACCCTGGCATGATGAATGCAGAAGTGGGTGGGCCGTCAAAAGCAGCCCAAAACCTGATCTCTACAAGCTTTGGTACAAAACCTCCCCCCAAAATCCTAACACCCGGATTCTGAGGTATCTGCTGCCACCATCAAGTGCTTTTGAACCCACAAACAGGGGTGGATGCTTGAAACCCACCCCAGAGCACCCCAAGCTCTCTTCTCCAAAGAGCTTGAAAAGAAAAGAGAAACTCCACGCTGCAGTCTGTGATCGCTGTCCCTTCGTCAGAGGCCTGCAGATCCCAAAGACAGATTTTCCAGGACACAGAAATGACCCAATACCAGGTTAATAAAAAAGAAAGTTTATTCTCACAACACCTTTCCTGTTACAAGCACAGTTAGGTTGGCTAGATGGGAAGAGCCACTAATTAATAAACTCATGGGGAATTTTCCCATGGGAACAAAACTTGGTTACGAAAGAGAAGAAAATCCATTTCTAAATGCACAGACATAAGAACGGTCAGACCAAAGGTCCATCTTGCCCAGTATCCTGTCTGCCGACAGTGGCCAGCACCAGGTGCCCCAGAGGGGGTGGACCGAAGAAAACGATCAAGCGATTTGTCTCCTGCCAGCCTCTGACAAACAGAGGCCAGGGATGCCATTTTATCCCCTGGCTAATAGCCTTTTATGGACCTAACCTCCATGAAATGATCTAGCTTCTCTTTAAACTCTGTTATACTTCTAGCCTTCACAGCCTCCTCTGGCAAGGAGTTCTACAGGTTAACTGTGCGCTGTGTGAAGCAGAACTTTCGCTTATTAGTTTTAAACCTGCTGCCCATTAATTAAATTTGGTGTCCTCTAGTTCTGCTATTATGGGAACAAGTAAATAACTTTTCTTTATGCACCCTCTCCATACCACTCATGATTTTACAGACCTTTCTCCTATCTCCTCTCAGTTTCCTCTTTTCTAAACTGAAAAGTCCCAGTCTCTTTAGCCTTTCGTTATGAGACTCGTTCCAAACCCCTCATCATTTTAGTTGCTCTTTTCTGAACCTTTTCTAATGCCAAAATATCTTTTTTAGAGTCCCTTTCCCAAACCATAAAACAATAAAACCTCACGGATTTAGCTAGACTTCGCCCAACTTACAGATAGCGAAGAGTCTTTTCTTGGAGAGCGGCACATTGTCTAGTATTTAGACAGCAAACGAAGGAAAAAAGACCGACCCACTCGAGATGGGATTTTTCCTCCTCATTCTGTTGGGGCGGTTCCCAAATCGACGGCATGTCCTTTCTCTTGTGACGGGCCGGGTCCGGGCAGAGCTGAGGGCGTCCGCTCTGGGTGAATTGCTCAAACTTGGGGCTCTATACAGCCCCCGACTGGAGACCCTCCAAATAGGCCACACACCAGTCACAAGGCAGATTTTTCCATTCCTCGGATCATCCTTGCGCAAGAAATGCATGTTTCCTCTCTGCACTGCCGTCCTGTGGAAGAGCTCTTGCACAAGAGGGATTATTCCCCGTGGGAAGAGGCATAACTCTTCTGGAAGAAGCCCTGTCTTCTGACGCTAGACTGTCCATTTACTTGCGCAAGAACGGGTGTGCCGTGTAGAAACCCAGCACGTTTTTGCGCAAGAACAGCTGTTCTTGTGCAAGAAGCTGCCAGTGTAGACGTAGCCTAAAGGTTTATTACTAAAAGAAAGAAAAGCATGAGAGTAAGGTTGTTAAAGGATCATGCATTACATCAACACGAGAAATCATTTTTCTGCTCTACTCTGTGCTGGTTAGGCCTCAGTTGGGGTCTTGTGTCCAGTTCTGGGCACCGCATTTCAAGAAGGATGTGGA